GTCCATTGCTTTGAGAATACACAAAACATGGGGGAGAAGTACCCTCTGAAACCTGTAAACTCTGCACTGATAGCCTTGCATATATGTAAAAGCAGTCTGTAAAATACTATTGTAATCAGGGCTAGCTCCAGCATTTCTGGAGCTGGCCCTGATTCCAAGCAAAAAAAAAAAAAATGCCGCGATCGTGATCTGCAGCAGCAATTGGGAAAAAAAAAAAGCCGCGATTGGCGGCGGCAGTTCAGCGTCAGGTCCTTCTCTCCTAGAGGGAGTGAGGGACCTGCCGCCCCCGAATTGCCGCAGGTGCCACCCCTCTCCCTTGGATGCCCCAAGCACCTGCTTGTTAAGCTGGTGCCTGGAGCTGGCCCTGATTGTAATGCAGACAAATTTCTGACATACTTCCAAAATTCACCTTCTAAATTGCACAGGATATACACCAGCATAAATACAAAATAATTGAGGTCAGTGGAGTTACTCTGGATTTATGCCGGTGTTCCTGGGATCAGAATCTGGCCCAAAGTGATTTATACTGTAACTGATAATGTGTAATGGAAGCTAGGTCGCTCAACAGATTCAAATAAATGATGGTTCAGTATTATAGGGCTGTCAGTAAATTGCAGTTGACTCAAGCAATTAACTTAAAACGTATTAACTCGATTAAAAAATTTAATCACAATCACAGTTTTAATCGCACTGTTAAACAATAATAGAATACCAATTTAAATTTATTATAAATATTTGTGGATGTTTTTTACATTTTCAAATATATTGATTTCAATTACAACATAGAATACAAAGTGTACAGTGCTCACTTTATATTATTTTTTATTACAAATATTTGCACAGTAAAAAAAATAAACAAAATAAATAGTATTTTTCAATTCACCTCATACAAGTACTGTGATGTGTTCTCTTTATTGTGAAAGTGCAATTTACAAATGTAGATATTTTTGTTACATAACTGCACTCAAAAATAAAACAATGGGAAACTTTAGAGTCTACAAGCCCACTCAGTCCTACTTCTTGTTCAGCCAATTGCTAAGACAAACAAATTTGTTTGCATTTATGGGAGATAATGCTGCCCACTTCTTATTTACAATGTCACCTGAAAGTAGGGTGACCAGACAGCAAATGTGAAAAATCAGGATGGGGGTGGGGGGTAATAGGAACCCACACAAGAAAAAGACCCAAAAATCTGGACTGTCCCTATAAAACCAGGACATCTGGTCACCCTACCTGAAAGTGAGAACAGGTGTTCGCATGGCACTTTTGTAGTCGGCATTGCAAGCTATTTATGTGCCAGATATGCTAAACATTCATATGCCCCTTCATGCTTTGGCCACCATTCCAGAGGACATACTGATGACGCATGTTAAAAAAAAAAGTGCTAATTAAATTTATGATTGAACTCCTTGGGGGACAATGGTATGTCTTCTGCTCTGGTTTTACCCACATACTGCCATAACATGAAATATATGGCAGAATTTCTGCATCCTTTTTGGTTGTCCATTGACAAATAGATTCATATTATAAACATCAATCTATAACCAGCCAAATTTGTAATTTATTGTAAATTAGACTGAAGTTTATGTTAATGGAATACAGGTAGGTATGGTTAATCTATACCTGGTTTATCTGTGCATGTACGTCTCCCAATGGCATCAATGCATACAGATAAATCAGGTACTTATTGTCATGCACAGGTACCAGTTTGATTTATTAATCTTAATTTTTTAAATCCCAATTAAAAGGAGGTTGCTAAAAGATGCAAGATAACCAGGTCCAATTACACTTTTTTCTCTGTATAAATCAACAAAATTAGTCTTAAAATTTATCCATAAAACTTAGAGCATGAATGTGTGACTGCTATATGCTATTGTTAATTATAATGTGTCTTTCAAAAACGGATTCCTTTAAGATATCAGCAGGGAATCTGAACATAGTGATATATAGAAATCGCTGAACTGGGGCATTTATTTAAAATAAAATCAATACACTAAGTTTTGACTGATCTAAAAAGCTTTACATCTGTAGTTATTTGAACTATACACTCTTTGTGAGTGTACAGTCTTTTGAACAAGTATCAGGGGGTAGCCATGTTAGTCTGTATCTACAAAAACAACAAGGAGTCTGGTGCCACCTTAAAGACTAACAGATTTATTTGGGCATAAGCTTTCATGGGTAAAAATCTCACTTCTTCAGATGCAAGTCTTTTGAACAGTAGTTTGCAAAACAAGGCAGAAACTACATTTTTCTAAATCATTTGAGACTATTTGGACTCAAAGACTTTTGTAGATTTTGGGAGCAGTGAGGGGAGGTTGTCTTTTGTTTTTTGTTTGTTTTGCTTTTTTTACATTTTTGGTATCCTTAAAATATTTTCTGTTATAGTTTGCTGAAAGTAGTGCCATAAAGAATTGGATATTTGGCATATTTACAATATTCTATTGGACTCCCTTCATTCCTTTATAAATATGGTGTATTCCTTAAGGATTTCAGGGCACAATAACCCTAATAATCAGCAGGAAATCATAATTCTTTGAGACTGAGATCTCATATCACTGGACACTCAAATTAGTGAATCCCAGATTAGTGGAGACAAAACATATATTATATCTGACACATGGAAATAGTAAATAGGCCAATTATGGCACCATCAAGTGCTTTCTTTAATGACCTGAAAATCAAAAAGGAATCCTACAAAATATGGAAACATGGACAACTTGCTAAGGAGGAGTATAAAAGAAACGCACAAGCTTGTAAGGACAAAATCAGAAAGGCTAAGGCGCAAAATGAGTTACGCCTAACAAGGGACATAAAAGGCAATCAGAAGAGGCTCTTTAAATACATTAGGAGCAAGAGAAAGACAAAAGGAAGTGTAGGTCTTCTACTTAGTGGGAAAGATGACCCTTAACAAATGACATCAAAAAGGCTGAGGTGTTTAATGGCTATTTTGATCAATCTTCACTAAAAAGGTTAAGGGTGACCAGCTACTGAACACAGTTAACAAGAGGGAAAGAAGGCAAGCCAAAATAGGAAAAGAACAGGTTAAAGAATATTTAAATAAGTTAGATGTATTCAAGTCAGCAGGGACTCATGAAATTCATCTGAAGATACTTAAGGAACTAGCTGAAACAATCTCGGAACTGTTAGCAATTATCTTTGAGAACTCCTGGAGGATGGGTGAAATCCTCTGGGACTGGAGAAGGGCAAACATAGTGCCTGTCTTTAAAAAGGGGAACAAAAAGGACCTGGAGAATGATAGACCAGTTAGCCTAACTTCAATATTTGGAAAAATACTGGAACAAATTATTAAACAATAGATATGTAAGCAGCTAACGGATAATAGGATTATAAGGAATAGCCAGCATGGAATTTGTCGAGAACAGATCATGCCAAACCAACCTAATTTCCTTCTTTGATAGGGTTACTGGCCCAGTGGATGGAGACGGAGCAGTAGACATAATATATCTTGATTTTTAGTAAAGGCTTTTGACAGTTCCTCATGACATTCTCATAAGCAAACTCAGGGAAATGTGGTCTAGATTAAATTACGATGAGGTGGGTGCACAATTGGTTGAAAGATCATATTCGAAGCGTACTTAATAATGGTTTGCTATCAGACTGGGAGGGTGTATCTACTGTGGCTTTGCAGGGATCAGTCCTGGGTCCAGTACTATATTTTCTTTAATGGCTTGGATAATGGAATGGAGAGTATGATTATAAAATTTGTGGATGACCCCAAGCTGGGAGTGGTTGCAAGCACTTTGGAGGTCAGGATTAGAATTCAAAATGACCTTGACAAATTGGAGAATTGGTCTGAAATCAACGAGATGAAATTCAATAAAGAGAAAAGCAAAGTAATACACTTAGGAAGGAAAAGTCAAAAGTACAACTACAAAATGGGGAATAACTGGCTAGGTGGTAGCACTACTAAAAAGGATCTGGGGGTTGGATAACAACTTGAATGTAAATCAACAATGTGATGAGTTGTGAAAAAGGCTAATATCATTCTGGGGTGTGTTGACAAGAGTGTCGTGTGTCAGACATGGGAAGTAATTGTCCTGGTCTACTTGGCACAGGTGAGGTCTGAGCTAGAGTACTGGATCCAGTTCTGGGTGCCATGTTTAGGAAAGATGTGGGCAAATTGCAGAGAACCCAGAGAAAAGTAATGAAAATGATAAAAGATTTAAAAAACCTGGCCTATGAGGAAAGGTTAAAAACACTGGGCATGTCTAGTCTTGAGAAAAGAAGACTGAGGGGGGACTTGATAATAGTCTTCAAATTTGTTAAGTGTTTTATTTTAGAAATAGAAATAAATGGAGATATCCCATCTCCTAGAACTGGAAGGGACCTTGAAAGGTCATCGAGTCCAGCCCCCTGCCTTCACTAGCAGGACCAAGTACTGATTTTGCCCCAGATCCCCAAGTGGCCCCCTCAAGGATTGAACTTACAACCCTGGGTTTAGCAGGCCAATGCTCAAACCACTGAGCTATCCCTCCCCCCTCTTTATTAGAGAGGCTATGATCAATTGTCCTCCACATCCACTGAAGGTAGGACAAGAAATAATGGGCTTAATATGCAGCAAGAGAGAGTTAGGTAAGATATTAGGAAAACCTTTCTAACTATAAGGATAGTTAAGCTCTGGATAGGCTTCCAAGGGAGGTTGTAGAATCCTCTTAATTGGAGGTTTTTAAGAACGGGTTGGACAAACACCTGTCAGGTGTACTAGACCATTTAGCACAGGAGCCTGGACTTGATGACCTCTAAGTAGCTTCCAGTCCTATACATTTCTATGATTCTATACTCTTCCATAAACAAGCTCACTGTGATGAACAAAATACTAAGAGTAGTCTTGTTGCAATAGCATATTGTGCATTGTGCACAGGCTACTTATTACCATGTGATTTGGGAAATACACTTTTTCGTGTAATTCAGGATGTGATAACTAAAATAAAACTATTTTAAAGTTTGTTTGTAGATAACAAAGTTTACTTCTTTTCCAGAGACCTGGAAACTATAGAGATTCCAAATATAAATTCAAGAATGTTTCAGCCCCTGAAGAACCTTTCCTACATGCATGCATGGAAAATAGCAGACATCATGGTGACATTTCTTTAGCATATAAGAATGTACAAAGTAGCTCTGATTATTAAGTCTTTCCATATTATTAAATACTAAAATATTTGTCACAATGGAGTCCAGTTTCTGCAAAAAATGTTAAGTATATCATTTTATACAAATAAAATAAAGAAAAATACATTTTCTCCATGTAATTCATATTTCCATAGGGCATCACCCCTCTCTTCCCCACACTGTAACCACTTTTATGACATCGGGTGGTGGGGGTTTCTGCCTGATTACTTGGAGTTACGTATACTTCTGGGAAGCAGAATAGCTCTTCAAGTGATTAACATCATAAGAGAGGTAGAATTACCCAAAAATTTACTGTATGCAAAGAGTACGTATCTTTTGGCTGGGGGAAGAGCTGTATATGTTTGTGCAGACAGTTTCACGTGACTATTTTCCTCTACTGTCATGTCTCAGTAGCTTCATAACATGTCATAGCTTGTAGTACTATTGGATGCCTCTGAACTACAAAACCCTTTTTTTACCCTGTTTTTGAGGCAGAGGACCCCAGCTTATGGATCATGTTTTCTCTCACCTCATTGACCCCAGCCAGGACACATGCCACAAGGTCTCTCTCCTCTCCAAGGCAGTAACTATAGGGTCAATCCCACTCTAACTGAACATCTTTAATCTTTTGCTCTAGCACTTCATTCTAGGCTGCCTTTTTTTTCTTTTGTGGCTCCCTCATAATATTCACATTCAGGGCCGGCTCTACCACCGTTTTTGCCGCCCCAAGCAAAAAAAACAAAAAACGCTCGGACTGTGCCGCCCCAAGAAGGGACGGAATGCCGCCCCTTAGCATGTGCCGCCCCAGGCACGTGCTTCCCCCTCTGGTGCCTGGAGCCGGCCCTGTTCACATTTGCTACCTCTCTACCATGACACACAAAGTAAGCAGTCTGCAGCAAGTGTGCAGTGTTCTTCTTCACTTTGTTTCTAGAGCTCAAATTATACTCTGTCCGACATCCCTCAACTCTTCTTGAAAACTGAAAGCTTCATAATTTTCCTAGCTTCCCCATGCCATCCAAGTGTGAAACTTAAATAGATTTCTGTATGATTGGCAGACCCACCCACTAAACGGCTGGGTCACACCTACATGCTGTCATTTGGCATATCAACTTTCATACATTTCACAATAATTTCAGAAAAATAGTGTCTTCTAATGAATATTTTCCCATTTTAATTTTATTGCGTATTTGTATCTTTCATATTTTTATACTTTTGATATTCGTTAACAATTTATTATCCACGTGCATCATTTCACAAATAGAGTGGGAAGTTTTACGATTATAGATGGATACAAACACTGATAAAATGTTTGATTTTGGAATTTGATCTTTATGCCAATATTTTGTTACAGCCCTTTAGGGCCCCAATTCAGCAAAGCACTCAAGCACAGGCTTAACTTCAAGCATGTGCCTAAAGCATTCCGCAAAGTGCTTAACCAAATGTTTGTTTCACTGAAGTCAATGGGATTTAACATGCTTAAAGTTTAGCATATGCTTAAGTGCTTTGATGTATTAGAGCCTTTATGCCCAGTCCTGCAACCCTTATTCATGCTAGTAGTTCCACTGAAACCAGTGGAATTACTTGCTTGACTCAGGGTTGGATGATTAGACCCTTTGTTAGCAGTTGGTGGTAAGAGTATTCTTATGATTTTTGTGATTCACAATATATTAATGTTTGTTTTTTTCTTCAAATATGCATGAGGTCTTCATTGGGTATCTTATAAACTTAGCTACTGTTCTTGCATATGGAACATAACGTCTGAGTTGACAAAATATGCAATAATGCCTTCTTGTGTATGTCAGACCAAGATAAAGCTATTAGAAGGAGAGATCCATGAAACAAACTCTGTCACTCTAAAGGTTTGGGAGGTGTTAGAACCAAGAGCATAGATGCTACTATAAAGTATTATAAGTTATATTTCCATGGACAGCAGGTATCATAGACTGTGAGAGGCTGTGCCTCCCCAAACAGCCAGGTGTGGCCCCACCCAGAATCCGGGGCTAGCCTCCCCTAACCTGTGATTCACGCGCCACCAATGTATATTTTATTTTGGTAAATATATGTCAATTAGGGCTTTCAAGTGATTTAAAAAATTAATCACGATTACTCGCACAATTAAAAAAAATTAATCGTACGATTAATCGCACTGTTAAACAATAAGAGAATACCATTTATTTAAATATTTTTGGACGTTTTCAAATATATTGATTTCAATTACAACACAGAATACAAAGTGTACAGTGCTTATTTTATTTTTTGATTACAAACATTTGCACTGTAAAAAACAAAAGAAATAGTATATTTCAATTCACCTAATACAAGTACTGTAGTGCAATCTCTTTATAATGAAAGTTGAACTTACAAATGTTGAATTATGTACAAAAAATAACTGCATTCAAATATAAAACAATGTAAAACTTTAGAACCTACAAGTCCACTCAGTCCTACTTCTTGTTCAGGCAATCGCTCAGACAAACAAGTTTGGTTACAATTTGCAGGAGATAATGCTGCCCACGTCTTGTTTACAATGTCACCTGAAAGTGAGAACAAGTGTTTGCATAGCACTGTTGTAGCCGGCATTGCAAGATATTTACATGCCAGATGCACTAAGGATTCCTTCATGCTTCAGCCACCATTCCAGAATACATGCATCCATGCTCATGACGGGTTCAACTCGATAACGATCCAAATCAGAGCCGACCGACACATGTTCATTTTCACCTTCTGAGTCAGATGCCACCAGCAGAAGGTTAATTTTCTTTTTTGGTCGTTTGGGCTCTGTAGTTTCCGCATCAGAGTGTTGCTCTTTTAAGACATCTGAAAGCATTCTCCACACCTTGTCCCTCTCAGATTTTGGAAGGCACTTCAGATTCTTAAACCTTGGGTCGAGTGCTGTATCCATCCTTAGAAACCTTCTTTTCGTTTTGCCAAATCTGCTGTGAAAGTGTTCTTAAAACGAACATGTGCTGGGTCATTATCCATCACTGCAATAACATGAAATATATGGCAGAATGCGGATAAAACAGAACAGGAGACATACAATTCTCCCCCAAGACGTTCAGTCACAAATTTAATTAACACATTTTTCTTTAACAAGCATCAGCAGCATGGAAGCATGTCCTCTGTAATGGTGGCCAAAGCATGAAGGGGTATATGAATATTTAGCATATCTGGCACGTAAATACCTTGCAACGCCAGCTACAAAAGTGCCATGCGAATGACTGTTCTCACTTTCAGGTGACATTGTAAATAAGAAGCAGTCAGCAGTATCTGCGTAAATGTAAACAAACTTGTTTGTCTCAGCAATTGGCTGAACAAAAAGTAGAACTGAGTGGATGTGTAGGCTCTAAAGTTTTACATTGTTTTATTTTTGAGTGCAGTTATGTAACAAAAAAACCTACATTTGTAAGTTACACTTTCACAATAAAGAGATTGCACTTCAGTACTTGTATGAGGTGAACTGAAAAATACAATTTCTTTTATCATTTTTACAGTGCAAATATTTGTAATTAAAATCATAATATAAAGTAAGCACTGTACACTTTGTATTCTCTGTTGTAATAGAAATCAATATATTTGAAAATGTAGCATAACATCCAAAAATATTTAATAAGTTTCAATTGGCATTCTATTGTTTAACAGTGCGATAAATCATGACAAATTTTTTTAATCACAGTTAATTTTTTTTAGTTAACCATGTGAGTTAACTGCGATTAATCAACAGCCCTAACGTCAATAGCTTTAAACTTACTATTATTTTTAGTATACATTGGGAATGAACTTTTCCACACAAACCCCTTCTGCAGAAATGGGACTTCCTCAGAAACCACATTCCATCTGGCCTAAGAAGTCAGAATTGTCAGCTCAGTAACATATATGAGATCCAGTCTGCTGAGGGCCTTAAATGTCAACTATCAACTTACAGTCCACACACCAGCAGTCTGATAATGCAGAAAGCAAAGTAGTGTCCTGGCAAAATCTTTTCTGCCAAGACATGGTAACAGATCTGCATCTTTGTCAACCCAGTATGAAGAAAAGGAAGGCAGCAGAATTGGATTAGTGCAAAGGGATGCATTAGGGTCACCAGTTCAAAGTAGCCACATTCTCAAAACAAAACCAGCTTTGAGCTGATTTGACAAAAAGCCTTCTAATATCAGCCACAGATCAAGGGCTTCACACTGGCGGCATGTTACACTAACTAATGCGAAATGCTATTCACATTACACCTCCTACTTAAACCAATAGGCATAATTTTGATTGTTAGAATTTCCTCTCTTTCACTTCTTTAGGTGTAATTGCATATCTAATACATAACTGTGACTTTGACCTGTGCTTGAACAGCAGTTTTATATGTTCATTTCTTTGCTTTCAACTATTTCAAAAATTTTCCGTATTGTTCCTATGCACTCCATGTGCAAATGTGCACACCATTAACAGATGGGATTTCATCATTTGAGAACCTCTTGGCTAATGTTCTTAGAGTATTTGTCTGGGTCATAGCTTGTGTTACCTGTTTTGGAAATCTTTTTGTCATTGGAATGAGATCATTTATCAGTGCTGAAAACAAGACGCACACCACGTCTATCAAAATGTTGTGTTGTAAGTATACATTAGTGGTATTATTTTTAAATCAGACAGACCATTGTACTATGTACATTAGAGTATTCAACCATTTACATTATAGATAAAAATATAAGCAAGGCATTAACTTCAAAATATTAGCAAACTTTGCTATTTTTGTCCCATTTTCCAATATTCTAAATATAAGCAGAAAGTTGCTTTTAACCCTTAAATTCAAATGGTCAAGATGTATAAGAAGAGTCTATGCAGCCTAATGGTTTCACTTTATTAATTTTACTGTTAATTTTACATCCAAGAAAACAGAAAGGTTAACCAGTGCTAGACTGGCTATTGCATGCATTTTGTGATGTGCCATGCCATCTTATTCTTCTCAGTTTTGGCACCAGCAACTAGTAAACTTCACTGTGGTTTATAAATTCCATGTTTCATAATTAGCCAGAAAATTATATTGACTCCAAATTAATGCACCATATTTTGTCTAACAATAATTTTGGAATTAAGAGCCTGCATTTGAACAATATTAACACAGGGCCAAATTTAGATCTGCTATAAACAAGTGCAACTTCTTTAAAGTCAATTTATACTGGCTTCCATTTATAAAATGAGTGTGTGATGCTGCCCTCTGCTAGCCTATAGAGAGGATATGGAATCTGATTCTACTTCCAGGCTAAGAGAATTCTCCCTTGGCTCAAGTAGTACTAGCTTGTAGTTTCATCTCCCTATCTGTATGTGATTTTCAAATGAGAGGTGTCGGTTACCTGCAGTTCATAGATTTACTACAGTGCCATAACCCAGTATTCATGGCATGATCTCAGACTAGGTTGACCAGATGTCCCAATTTTATAGAGACAGTCCCGATTTTTGGGTCTTTTTCTTATATAAGCTCCTATTACCTCCCACCCCCTGTCCCAGTTTTTCTCACTTGCTGTCTGGTCACCCTATCTCAGCCACTTCCATCAAATTCATTCTGATGCCACAAACTCTGGGTTAAATGACATTACTGCATATGTCAGCCAGGATCTGGCCAATTCTAAGAACATTTTTAGTATATAAATCTTTAAATTTAATAACTATTTTTAATAAACTCTGAACATTTCTTTTTAAATAGGTACTGATTGTCTGATGGGAGTGTACTTCTTCTCCATTGAAGTCTTTGACATTAAATACTGTGGACAATATAAAATATATGCTGTGCTGTGGATGGACAGTTTACCATGTCATATCATGGGTTTCCTGGCCATGTTTTCTACAGAGGTCTCTGTCTTGTTGTTGACATATCTGACTTTGGAAAAATATTTAGTAATTGTCTTTCCCTTCAGTAATATCCGACCAGGAAAGCATCAGAGAATAATAATCCTTGTATCCATATGGTTTATTGGATTTGTAATAGCAATAATCTCATTTTGGGATGAGGATTTTTTTGGAAATTATTATGGAAAAAATGGAGTTTGTTTCCCACTTTATTCTGATCAAACAGAAGAAATTAGAGGCAAGGGGTATTCTCTTGGGATTTTTCTTGGTAAATTTAATATTTTCATACATCTTTATTACTTGTTTCTCTTATTGCACTACAAAAACTGATTTCCAGACAACAGAAAACTCATGTATAGTAGATATATTTTTACAGTGGTCCCAATGATTGTTCGACAGGCTTCCTGCTTCTGAAGTACTTAATTTTTTTTCCTGCTAGTTTTTGTGTCTTTTACTAGTTGCTCTTCAAATTCCTTTTTGGCCTGTCTACTTATACTTTGACACATGACTTGCCAGAGTTTATGTTCCTTTTTTATTTTCCTCAGTGGGATTTGACCTCCTATTTTTCAAAGATGTCTTTTTGTCTCTACCTACCTCTTTTACTCTGTTGTTTAGCCATTGTGGCATTTTTTTGGTCATCTTACTGTTGTTTTTTTATTTGGGATATACTTATAGTTTGAGCCTCTGTTATGATGTTTTTAAAAAGTTTCCATGCAGCTTGCAGGCATTTCCCTCTTGTGATCATTCCTTTTAATTTCCATTTAACTAGCCTCCTCATTTTTGTGTAATTCCTCTTTAAGAAGTTAAATACTACTCTGGTGGGTTTCTTCTATATTCCCTCACTTATAAGGATGTTAAATTTAATTAAATTATGCTCACTATTACCGAACAGTTCAGCTATATTCACCTCTTGATCCAGAACCTGTGCTCCACTTAGGAATTGCCTCTCCCCTTGTGGGTTCTAGGACTAGCTGCTCCAAGAAGCAGTCATAAATGGTGTCTAGAAATTTTATCTCTGCATCCCATCCTGAGGTTACATGTACTCAGTCAATATGGGGATAGTTGAAATCCTCCATTTTTATTGGGGTTTCTGTTTATTTAGCCTCTGTAATTTCCATGAGCATTTCACAGTCACCATCCTGGTCAGGTAGTCAGTGGCATATTCCTACTGCTATACTCTTATTATTCAAGCATGGAATTTCTATTCACAGAGATTCTATGGTACTGTTTGATTCAAGATTTTTACTATATTTCACTCTATATTTTATTTCACATGTAGTGCCACTCCAACACCAGTGCAACCTATTCGGTCATTCCTGTATATTTTATACCCTGGTCTTACTGTGTCCCATTGAGAATCATTGTATCAGCAAGTTTCTGTAATGCCTATTATATCAATATCCTCATTTAATATCAGGCACTCAAGTTCACCCATCTTAGTATTTAGACTTCTAGCATTTGTAAAATTTGTCACTATTTAGTTGTCTGCCTTCATGCGATGTAATTGAATGGGACTCCTTTTTGTTTGACTGTTTCTCTTCAGTTCCTACCTGTACTTTATCAACTTCTGTCCTTTCCTCTTTATTAAGATATAGATTATCCCCTTTAATAAATCCTCCTTAAGGGATGTGTCTGTTCAAACCATGTACTCCTCTGCACCTGTCAGCTTTCCTCCAGTTCTGACTTAAAAACCCCTCTATGACCTTTTTAATTTTACATGCCTGCAATCCGGTTCCATTTTAGTTTAGATGGAGCCCAACCTTCCTATAAAGACTCCTCCTTTCCTAAAAGGTTCTCCAGTCCCTAATAAATCTAAATCCCTCCTCTGAACACCATCGTCTCATCCACACATTGAGACCCTGAAGTTCTGCCTGTATAACTGGCCCTGCATGGGGAACTGGAAGCATTTTCCAGAATGCTACCAAGGAGGTCCTGAATTTTAATCACTTACCTAGCAGACTAAATTTGGCACCCAGGACCTCTCCTCTACCTTTCTACCTAATGTACCATGACCACTGTCTGCTCCCAGCACTGCATATAAGTCTGTCTAGATGTTTCGAGAAGTCTGCAATCTTTACACCTGGCAGACAATTCACCATGCAGTTCTTCCAGTCATCACACATCCAACTATCTATATTTCTAATAATCAAATCCCTCATTACTATTACCTGTCTTTTCCTAATATCCTGGGGCCCCTCCCCCAGAGAAGTATCCTTAGTATTCCTGCACAATAATGGGGGCCCCTCTCCCTGGAGAGGTATCCTCTGTGTTCCTCTACAAGAGGATTTTTATCCAAATCCACTTTACAGTCCACAAGTAGGAGTTGCATGCATATCAGCAAGGGAGGTTTAGGCTGGACATTAGGAAAAAGTTCCTAACTGTCAGGGTGGTTAAACACTGGAATAAACTGCCTAGGGAGGTTGTGGAATCTCCATCTCTGGAGATATTTAAGAGTAGGTTAGATAAATGTCTATCAGGGATGGTCTAGACAGTATTTGGTCCTGCCATGTGGGCAGGGGACTGGATTCGATGCCCTCTCGAGGTCCCTTCCAGTCCTAGAATCTATGAATCAGCTGGCATGATTTGGTGCTAACTCTTGCAACGTTTTCTTGTCTCTCTTTATGTGCAGCTCTGCTCCCTCCATGCTGTTTGCTGCAAGAGAGGAGCACATGGCCCTTGGGGAGGCGGGCTGGATTTCTGTAATCACACCCTATGTTTGTAACATATACATATATTTGTTAATATATAGGTCATACTATGGAACAATAACTTTTAAATAAAGAGGTTCAATGGAAGGACAGAAAATAGTTGTTTATGAGAAGTCTTACACAGGAGGCAATTGAGGAGAACAAACAAAGTCTTATTAATGTATTTGTAATGAATTTATTATTGTCAAATTTTAATATCAATAAAATATTTATAAGAAATCATCTTCCACAAAAGAATTTTGATAGCCTCCTATTAAGCACTGAAAACAATATTGGATTCTTGATTCTTTAAAAAGGGATTGGGGGGGACAATCTAAAATAAACCCCAAAATTTGCAAACAGTGTTTGTGGATGGAATAATTTAAACATTTGAATCAGCAACCTCTGAATTTTTCTTTTTTAATAAGCCAGTCCTACTGTGAATGCAGCAAAAATAAAAGTATATCTAAAACAGGTCCTATTTCTGCAACCCTGGTCATGCAAGTAGTCCTTACTCAACAGAATAGTTCCATGTATGTCAATGGGATATTCTGTATGAATACAGACTGTTCACATAATACAGTAAAGTTTGTAGACTGGGACTCTAGTGAGTCCCAAGTAAAAATGACTAAGGCTCTGATTCAGCAAAGTATTTATATATGTGCATTGCTCATGTACTTAAAGTGATCATATACAAACCAGTGGGGCTACTTATGTAGCTAATGTTACACACTGCTTTAGAATCTTGCTGAACTGGGGCCTAAAACAAAAACAAAAATTATCTCTTCATTTGCCTGAGCTTGCACTAAAACCTCCTTGGAAGAGATCAAGATCTCGCAAAAAGGTCATTCTGTCAGTTCCAGGAAAACTGCCTCAAACCAAAATCTTTAAACTGAATAGTTTAGTGTAGCAAGAACACAGAAGAGAGTTATCTTCCCTCACCAACAACTGCTGTGTCATTTTATATTTACAGCTCATAACATTTGCCGTGAACATGGAAATGCAGTATTTCCCAAATCAGTGCTAAGTATAATGGGTTTTTCAGCAGGATGCCTCATCACAGAAGATTTCCATCATTCATATTTTGGTTCTGTTTTTGAAAAAAGAGGCGAGGCCTTCTTTGCGAGCTCATACCTGCCAAGTGGCATAGCCTGAAGCTTTTTTTCTTTTTCTTTTAACTGAACAGGGGATTGCTACATGAGTTTGACGTAGTCTTTGGAAAGTTTATTGCCCTCACACTTGTGACTCAGGAGGGGAGTGTGATTCTGGACAAACATCAACCCTATATTTTTGTTTATAGTTATTTTTTGCCTGTTTTGCTAAAAGAAAACCTGGGAACAGTGACCAAGAGACAAAAATTGGGTATAATTGTTAAATATAAATATTTTGGCAGTGTATAAATGTGGCTTAGGGAATGTGGGGCAGAGGGAAGACAGTGTGCCAAGAGTTTGACTAATGCTTAGTCTTTGGCATGGTGGTGTGTATTCCATACTAGAGTTTTTATTTAGTTTTTTTGTGGCTGCTTATTCCCAGTTCAATTTATAGCCTAGCTAGGGAAATGATTCCTCAGATTCTCTGTGTTAATCTTATATGACTACTATTTTCTGCTATTATACTGCACCTAAGTTATCTGCTTTTGTAATTTGATGGTTTGATCCATTATGATCCCCAGTGAGGACTAGGTTGAATGGTGGTTGGGGATACCTGATTTTACTAATTTATAAAGTGGAAAGGTTTCAAAAGATTTGGAACCATCATGTTGTGCATACAGTGCAGCTATGTACAGGAAAGGCCCTAAGCCTTTGCCAGCCTGGGCAGAAAGCGTTTTCTGCACCCCATGGAGCAGCAAAACAAACAAATAAAATGACCAACTGGCACAGCGATATGGCACCCCCTGGAAATTGGTGCCCAGACTGACTCCCCTGCTTGCTGGCCCCTAGAATTGGCCATGGCTATATAATTGAATTATCTTATTATTGTTAGCCATGTCCCTGCCCCCACTTCTTTCCCTCCTTTTGTTTGTTACATTCACTTGTGTCTTGTATAAAATTAGATTCTACACTCTTCACAGAATGGACCGTGTCTTCCTATGTGTATATGTGAGGTTGCAGTTTGCAGATGATACAAAATTACTCTAGATCAGAGGGTCCCCAAACTGTGGGGTGCACACCCCTAGGGGGGCACAGAGGAAAGTTCAGGGGCGCGCAGCTGGGGCCTAGTTCAGCCCTTATGGGGGATGGGAAGGGAGCACCACCCAGCTGTGCTCCTGGCCCTGGCTGGTCCTGGCCCCAACTCCAGCTGCTAGCCTCGCACCTAGGGCTCCGCTCCCGGCCCCACACCTGGGGCCCCAGCTGCCAACCCCGTGCCCAGAGATCCATGCCCGAGGCCCCAGCTGTCTGGCCTGCACCCAGGGATCTGCTCCCCACCACGGCTCCCAACCCTGTGGCCGAGGCCCCGGTTGCCGGCCTCAGCCCCGCTCCCACCTCTGCCCACTGCTGTGGCTCCAGCCTCAGCTCCCTTACCCCATCTGCATCTTCCCGTCCTGGAGCCACGGCCCCGCTCCTGGCTCAGGGTGGGAGGTACACAGAAGGGTAAGGGGGGGCATGAGGTAAAAAGGGTGGGGACCACTGCTCTAGATAGTTAAGTCCAAAGCCGACTGCGAAGAGTTACAAAGGGATCTCACAAAACTGAGTGACTGAGAACAAAATGGCAGATGAAATTCAACATTGATAAATGCAAAGTAAAGCACATTGGAAAACATAATCCCAATTATACATACAAAATAATGGGGTCTAAATTAGCTGTTACCATTGAAGAAAGAGAACTTGGAGCCATCATGGATAGTTCTCTGAAGTATCAGAGGTGTAGCCATGTTAGTCTGAATCTGTAAAAAGCAACAGAGGGTCCTGTGGCACCTATAAGACTAACAGAAGTATTGGGAGCATAAGCTTTCGGGGGTAAGAATCTCACTTCTTCAGATGCAAGAAGAAGTCTTGCATCTGAAGAAGT